AGACGAACTGAAAAAAACAAAAAAAAAAAAAAAAAAAAAAAAAAAACCCAAAACCACCTTTTGTTTAAATGAAAGTTTGGGCTGGAAAGTTAGCTCAGAGGTTTCACCCCCTGCCTTGCAAGCCCAAGGTTCTAAGTTCAATCCCCAGTACCAAAAAATAAAAAGTATGATAGAGATTCCCAGAACTCTGGAAGGCTGAGGCAGGAAGATCACAAGTTTAAGCCTAGTTTGGGCCATGTAAAAACTTAATGAGACTGTCTCAAAAAATAAAAAGGGCTGGGGATGCAGCTTGGTATGTCAGCATGAAGATCCTGGGCTCAATTCCTAGCACTGCAAATAAAACACAAACAGTGTGATAACTGGAAGAGAAAAGAAACATCCAGCACAGGTGTATTTGTGAACATTCATGACCACAAACACATTTGTCTACATGAAAAATGTCCTGTGATTCGTGTCATACAAAAATAAATTCCAAGAGAATTTAAAAACCTAAGAAGAAAAGCCATAAAACTTCTGTCAGATAGGGAGAGTACCTTTTCCACCTTGGATTAGAAAAGATTTGTTAAGACAGAAAATAGAGAAATGTAGCTGATTGGCGGTGATTCTGTTCACCAAGACAGGAAAGAGCAGTTGTTTTCCTGCCTCCGGCTCCTATGACACCTCTTCAGAAGATTCCTTCAACACCACTACAAAGTGGAAAGTTTGCCACTCCTCACAGCAGTGCTAAAACAATCTTACAGGCTGACTTCAAACTTACTGCATAGCCCCAGGCACCTGGCCTCAAACTCCATCTTCCTGCCTCAGCTTACTGGAGTTCTGCGATTGTAAATGCACACCTTCACCCCCAGCTCTGGTGCTCTGCAGTTAAGGAGAAAAAAGATCTAGTAATGTTTTTGCTAGTTATACTTTCCTAACAGTCATGAAAATAAAACGGCCAGTAAGTTAAAAGATATTTGCCCAAATACTTTTTCAGATTGTTTTATCTAGTCCTGCAGTTAAGAGAAGTCCCCTACTTCCCCCTACAAATATCCTTTTGGAGAATATGTATCCCTTTCTAACAATGTAACTGGAATTATCTCTAGTTGTCTCCACAGTAAGAAAATCAATGTGCGGGGGCAGGGTTTCACTATGTAGTTCACGCAGGTCTCAAACTTGCAGCAGTCCTCCTGCCTCAGCCTCCTGAGTGTTCATTCAGATTATACACACCTATACTAAGGAAAATTATTTTCTACTGGTGACTGACTCCCATTTATCAAATCGGGTGTTTGAAATGGAACCAAAAATTAAAGAGAAGACTGTAAACCAAGATAACGAGAGAAGCCCTGGATTGTTCTGGAAAGGGAAACAGCCTTAACAAAACCAAGACAACACTCTTAGTGCCGGGCATAGTAGCACACATCTGTAATCCCAGCAATTGGAAAGTAGGCAGCAGGACTGCCTCAAGTTCGAGGCCAGCCTGGGCTACATAGTGAGTTCAGGGCCAGCCTGAACTACAAAGTGAGAACCTGCTCCCCCAAAAGACAAGACTCTTAGCATAAATAAAGGTTTTATTGGTCACTCTGATGAATGACAGACTAAGTCCCTGTCCCGTGCTCCACACTCCCAGCCCAAGGTGGCAGAAAACACTGAGCTTGTGACAGCGGCCACAAGTGGGAAGGATCCAAAAGCCTCTGTAGTTTAAGAAGGCTACCGGGACCGGAACCAACGTCCTAAGAACAGATCCAGGATAGAAAAAGCATCGTCCAGAGCTGGAGGTCCTGGTGATTCTGGATCTAAGGAAGAAAAGCAGAAAAATGGCTAGCTGAAGTGAAAGGACCAGGCAGAGGCAAGAGGGGATATTAAAGGGCACACAGGTGAGAGTCCGTTTCCCCGGGAGTTCAGAGGCGGGCTCTTCTCTTACCAGCTCCGGGACTGCTGTCTGCTTCCTGACGGGTCACGGTGGTCTCCCGCCGGCCCTCACTGTCCACCACAGTCCGCCGCTCCTCCACTACCTGCAAGCAGAGCCCCACCCACCATGTCCCTAAAGTCACTAAAGCTGATTTCAGCAGGTTCTTTCTTTTGGAAACACTGGGAAGCACTTCACACTTGCTAGGTAAGCACCTACCACTGAGCTATATTTCCAGTCCTTTGCATTTATTTTTATTTTGAGACAGGGTCTCGAGTCGTCCAAGCTGGCCTCAAACTTGCAATCCTCCTGCCTCAGCCTCGGAGAGCTGGGATTACAGGTGTGCGGTACCACACTTGGCCAGGTCAGTTGCTTCTCTGCATGTGTCCCCCTTTCTCCTTCACCCCTCTTCCCCCAACTCACCCCATCTGGCTTAGTGATCTTGGTCACAGAGATGCTCTTGAAGTAGGATTTGGGCTGGGGCTGTAGAACTGGGCCGAGACCTTCCTGGGAGACCTGGGAATCAAGATCTGGAAGGGAAAAGAAATTAAGAACCAAGAGAGTCTAAGGGGAAAAAGAAACTCAAGGAGCGAGAAAACCACCCTCCCTCAACTCACCCTTGTCCTCTCTGGCTCTGGGATGAGGAGTCACTGGCCACATTTCATCGAACTGTAGAAGAAACCACAGCAGGTGAAAAGACATCTTCCAACCTGGAACGTGAAGGGTCAAAGACCTCAAACTGCTCCCAAATTCCAACACCCCATTTCCCCAGGGGGAATTCCACTTAGTATAGCTCTACGGACCCAACCTCGCTGCTTTCCTGAAATGATACTGTCTCGTCCTCCCAACAATCCTGCCTTATCCAAGACTCATCTGGACCAGTGGTTTGTGTGTGTGGCTTTGTTTTTAAGCAAGGAGCAGAACTCCCATTTCCCCCGAAGAATAGCCTACAAGAAGCTTAATACGGAAAACGGGATGGGGCTGTAGGTCAGTGTCCTTGTCCAGCACAAAGGCTAAGGTCCAATCCTTAGCACAAGAAAAGAAGGGGAGAGGAAGGAAGAAGTGGGTAGGTGTGGAGAAGAAAGAAAACCAAGGGCCGTTAGGAGGAAGTCCACCCCTAGCCTGTGATTCCGCCAGGGGTGCGGCCACCGCGCCCACTTACAGCGGCCGCACGGAGTACTCACTCTAGGAAACGGTCTCCGGGACCCCCAGCCCGGTGCTGACTTTGGGGACTCGGGTCCTGGCTCACTCTCCAAGCCTCCCCCAAAGATCCCGGGCTGGTGACTATCCGGGAACTTCAGCATGGAGTCCCGAAGTGTGCGTCCCTCCCGCCGCGTCTCACCGGGGGCCTCTGACTCAGGAACTGGAAGTTCTGCAGAGGCGGCAGGTGCATGCTGGAGTGGGGTTTGCATCCCCCTGAGCTTTCCACCCGCTGCTCCTCCCAGCCGGCTCACACGGAAGCCGCGGTCCTCCCCGGGGACACCCACACACCGGGGGCGTGCAACGGCCAGGTCCAGGTCCCCATCTCGCTGAAGACGCTGCTGAAATCCCGCACGAGGTCGTCCAAGCCGAAGTGGTCCTGGAAGCGCATCCCTCCGCCCGGGCCGAAGCCAAAGCCCTCCGGGGGCTGGGGCCCGGCAGAC